AGTCGTGGTGATCAACGTTGTGGAGGTTGTAGGGACCGATCCTGTGTCCCCCTCCGTTGTAGGTAGGTTTCCCTCTGCCCCGCTCATGATCACGTCAGATTCGGGACGATAGGAAAAGTGAGAGTTCTAACAATATGTTGGATCCCCAAGCATCGAGAATAAATCCACGTTTTCAAGAAATGCAAAATTTATTTCAAAGCTTTGGAAAGACACTCAAACACGTTCTTTGTTAGAACTGAATACAAACGGTTAGGGCAAGCATGATAAAGGGATTTGAACCAGGTACAGGACCAATGGGTCACTTTCCCGCTGGCGGGTGAAAGGAAACGGTTGCGCGCTCATTCCCTGAGAACCAGGCTATCTCCAGACATAATACAGGTGCAGTTCCCAGGCTCTAAAAGCAACAAGCTGGCAGTAAAGCAGACTCCCCCAATACATCCTCCAGTTGTTTGGCTTAGGCATTACAGCAGAGTAAAATACAGGCGTACAGGCAGGGGGGAGGGTTGAGCAACGGTACAGAGATACAACCAACACAGAACACCATGGCAGCTTGCTGACAGGTAACAGCGTTCCGTGCGCCTTGGTGTTTAGTCATGCCGGCCACATGACCACGGAAACGTCTTCGGACAGCGCTGGCTCTTCGGCTTTGAAACGGAGATGAGCACCGCAACCCTAGAGTCGGATTCGACTGGCTTTCGAGCAAGGGAACCTTTACCTTTACCTATTGTATATGTAATTATCAATAGTGCATTTTATGCTCTTGGTTTGATAGGACAGTACTGCATATATTTCAATTTCCCCACAAATTTCTGGGTTTTTTAATCCTGGAGATTCCCCCCCCCCCCCGCGTGGGCCGTCTCCATCACAGATTTGGCTTCAAAATTTCTGGAAATTTTACATCTCTAATATTGATCATATCCAAACAAACACAGCTGAGCTGTCAAGTAAATTGATGTGGCTAGAGTAAGTTGGATCCCAAATTGCAGATCCTGTCTGTGCATGCGTGATGACATTGAAATCGGATGAATATACCTACAATTTCCCTGAATGACACACCAAACTCAGTTCTGTTTTCATTTTGTGGCCCAGGTGGAAAATAGCAGCATCTGTTACCAGAGTACTGACCGTATCGAGACCCTGTGGTGTTCTCCGGGGACTTCTCTCCAAGGGCCTCCGTGGCAGCTTTGAGCTGTTCTTTCAACCTGTTGATGTCACAGTCGGCCTTGGCCTTCACAATGCTCAGTTCTGTGTAGATATCTTTATACTTATCACTGGCATATTTTTTATCCTTGAAGGGGAAGAAAAGATGGCATTTCAGTTAAGGAGATATGTGACATTGGAGATGGGTAGAAATACACACTACTGGCTTCCACGAGGAAAACTGAGTCCGACCCTAGGAAACACCAATCTCTGGCAATTCCAGCTATCAGTATGGGATACTTGCAACTCTCCTTAGATTCTGCTTCTGTTAAAAGTGAAGGTGACATCAAGCAACTCAGAGAGTTCAGTCTCATAGAACAACCAAGCACCTGAAATATTCACCAGTTTACCAGCATTCGTCTACAAATCTGACAAGATGGCCACTCAAAGCACAGCAGTATTTCAGGGAAAGAAAGAAAAAAAGAAGTCATGGTATCTTCCAGATCTCGGATGCTAAGCAAGGTCAGCCCTGGTTAGTACTTGGATGTGCTACCACCAAGGAAGTCCAGGGTTGCTACGCAGAGGCAAGCAATGGTCTGGTCACCTCAGTGTCTTGCCTTGAAAATCCTATGGGGTTGCTGTAAATTGACTGCAACGGGGAAGCAGAGCAAGTGGAACTTCCAGTAGCTTAGAACAGGGCTTTGTCCAGATTCAAAGGAACGTATTCCGCAGGGCATGTAAGACAGTTATTCCACCAGGCATTCTAGTAACAGTATTCTGGTGGACTCTACTAACAACATGGTGGACTTTTTGGCCAAAAGCTGTGAGTTAAATTAATTGGATTTTAATTTAACTTAATTGGATTTTGTAAGAACTATGGCTTTATTATTGTTACTGCATTGTCATGTTGTGAGCCACCCCAAGCCCCATACTGGAGGAGGGGTAGGATAAAAATCTAATAAAAAAAATATTTTGAGCTACCATATTAAGCACTCATCCGTTACTGTCTCATCTTGCTCAAAGTTGCTGCATAAAAGACATGTTAAAACATTTATTATATAATAAAGTAGCGTGAGGTTGCATGACATCACGGCATGCCTGCCGCAAAAAAACCCATACATATAATATATTTTATTGCTTTGTTTGCAAATTTGTAATCAGTCCAGTTACACTATTTACTGCATGTCTTACACTGCTCCTTGTACACTGATCTGCCTTGAGCCTCAGCAAAGACTGTAAATATATAAATAAATTACCCTCAGTACTGTCTGCAATTCATCTTTCAAGGAACTGATCTCCTGCTTCAAGTACTGGATTTCTGATTCCTTGACTCGCAGCAGAACCTGGAGGGGGGACAGTGGGGAGGAGGAGAGAGAGAGCTGGCCAGAGACATTTTAGGTGAAGACAGAAAGGTACCATTTTAAGCCTAAGTTATTCCAATAAGTGCATAATGCTCCCATTACAATTAATTACTTATATATATAAATTTTAAAAATTATACGCCGCCTTCCCTTGTGCTTCAAGAAGGCTTACACTAATAGTTTTTTTAAAAATTCAGTTAAAACCAAAATAAATCAGCAAACCCCAACTCTCTCCCCCCCTTCACCCCCTTATGCCATTCAAACGCCCTCAAAAACCCTGACAAACAGGTAGGCCTTGCAGCATCTCCTGAAGATCTCCAAAGAGGGGCCCCCCCATCCCTTCAGGGAGCTTATTCCACAGAGCAGGAGCCATGACAGAATTAAACTGAAATAGCACTTAACTTTGGTTGTATCATACCCCAAACACTAAGTGAATGGCATTATCTATCTTACTTTGAACAGGGGCAGGGAGAGGTGTGGTCCTCCTCTCCTCCAATTTATCACTGCTACCACTGAATGAAGTAGGCTAAGCTGGAGAGTGTGACTGGCCCGAGGTCATGCAGGAAGCTTCCTGGCCGGACTAGGGCATTAAAACCCAGTCTCCCCAGTCTTAGTTCAACATTTTAACCATACCAGCTCCATGACACATTGTGGGACTGAATAAAACCCAGAGCCCGTCTCCCAAGAGCAATAGCCTGTCGCATGCCCACAAGCTCTGGGTGGTTGTGTTCAATGTCAAAGCAGAGGACTACTCACCTCCAGCTCGTAGGCATCCTTGCCCTGAGTGAGAGGCGTGCTGGCAGCCTCTGCCCCGCCCTCTCTGGTTAGCAGTGCTCGTAACCGTGTGATCTCTGTAGCCAGGCGGTTGTTCAGCTCCTGCAAGAACCACCATAAGTGCTATGAGTACACTTCTGAATAAGCCCTTCAGCATTAGAGCTGCCCCTGGTCCCAGCAGTTTATTACACCCACTTGAATAGGGGCAGAGGACGTGTCTTTAAGAATTTTCATGGCTTCCAAACTTCATGCAATCCCACGGCATGGACATGGATCACTTGGCCCTCCTTGACTGCAAGCCAACACTAGAAGGAGGGCTAGTAACTGTTATTGAGAGTAAGAAACAAAGTCTTCACCCACTGGTGAAAGACACTTATAGAGGAGACAGACAAATCTCTCTGAGGATAGAATTCAAAAGTTTTGCTGCTATGACCGAGAAGTCCCTTTCTCGAGTCACCACCTGTCTAATTTCGTATGGTGGGGGCAAATAAAGCAGGGCCGCCAAAGATGACCAGAGTGTATGGGTAGGTTCATATGGGAGAAGGCAGTGCTTGAGGTATGCTGGGGCCCAAGCTGTACAGGGTCAAGATCAGCATCTGAAGGTAAGAGGCCTGGGGGTGATCCTGGGATGTCTCACTTTCTATGGAGGAGGAGGAGGAGGAGAGATTGGATTTATACCCCACCCTTCACTTGGAGTCTCAGAGCAGCTTACAAACTCTTTTCCCTTCCTCTCCCCACAACAGACACCCTGTGAGGTAGGTGGGGCTGAGAGAGGTCACCACCAATGCTCCCTCTAAGCTGTGGAGTCTTGTGAGCAAAAATTCTACTTTGTGAGCTACTGGCATTAAAGTTGTGAATGAGCAATTTGGTTATTGCATAATTTAGTTTGCTCTAGAGCCATCCTTCCTGAACGAAGACAAAAATGTTTGAGCTGGAGGCTAAACAACTGTGAGCTACCTCACACTAACTCAGCTTAGAGGGAACACTGGTCACCACAGTTGTCAGGTTGGCCTTCTATCATCTTTAGTAGATCAGGCAACTGGTACCCTACCTCTCTCCCCAGGACTTGGCTACAGTGACCCAATGGTCACTTCCAGGCTTGATTATTGTAATGCACTTTACATGAGCTTGTCTCTGAGGCTGATTCGGAAACTCCAGCTAGTGCAAAATGCAGCGGTGTGCCTACTGGCTGCATTGCCTGTGTGGGCATGCATTTGGCTAGTGTTACACCAACTGTATTGGCTACCAGTTGAGTACCAGATCTGTTTCAAGGTGTTGGTACTGACCTTCAAAGCCCTGCGTGGCCTGGGACCAACATATCAGAGGAATTGCCTCTCCCCATACGTTCCATGGGGAGCCTTGCACTCAGCTGACCAACATCTGCTGGTTGTCCCCAGCCCAAGGGGCATCCGCTTAGGCTTGGCCAGGGTGTTCTCTGCCCTGGCATTGGCCAGGTAGGACATGCTCCCGCTTGAGTTCAGAGCCCTGTAGGACCTTCTACCATTCGGCAGGGTCTGTAAAATGGACCTCTTCTGCCAGGCCTTTGGATGAGGTAGCGGGCATCCAATCCAGTTGGCCTCCCTTGCTGAAGCTGTCCATCTTTATGCAGCCCAGACTGAGCAGATTTTTAGTGGCCCACCAGCTCCAGCTTCTGAGACTATTGCACTTTAATGGATAGTGCATATCTGCTTTAATTCATACTGTTTTAACTACTGAATTATTGTATTTATTTTATTTATATTGTTGTGATCTGCCCTGAGCCCATTTGCAGGGAGGTCGGAATAAGTGTCGAAACAAATAAATAAATAAATACATTTTGGATTCAGCCCAGACGTAAGCTGGAAGCCGGTGTAGATGGGACAAGACTGGAGCAATATGGTCCCTATGACCCACTTGTCAGCTATGCTGCCATGATAGTTCCCTCTCTGTGTGCTAATTACTGCTGCATTCCTTCTGTGCTTCATCTCTGCTGTAACACTGTTATCTCTAAGATGTGCAGGTGGTGTAGTGTCTGGCGCGAAGGGAAAACCGTGGGAGCGCTATCGGTTCCCAGCTTTGACTCTAGCGGTCTGGGGCTCCTTCTCCCGCGTGCGGGAGTCAGGCCTATTGGCCTATGGAAGGGTGTGTGTGCATACGAATGCCCTATATCCCATTTTGCTTGTAGGGGCGACGGCATTCTTAACAGTGCTTCTGTTAATGCATCTATAGCTCTTCAATAAAGTATAACCTTTCTGATAAGCGTGTACTCCGTTGTTGGCTGTGGAACCTGACACCACTCCACTCAATGCTCTGGCTTCAGCATTCTGTATCAACTGTAGCTTCTGAACAGTCTTCAAAGGCAGCCCTGCTTCTTCACTCTTACTAAGCTATAACAGGCAAATGGTCAAGATTCCTTAATGTGCAAGTCCCTGGAGTCAAACTTCGACTGAAGGCCACTCTGATGAAACCTTGAACATGATCTCCCACACACATCCAAGCATCGGGCTTGCGCCTCACCTGGTTGTGAGCATTGAGTTCCTGGTTTTCACGTTGGCACTGACGGAGGGCCTGCCTCTCCGCCTCCAGGGCCTGAGCCAGGTGAGCATTCTCCAAGCACTTTTGTGAGTACTGCTCCGACAAAACCTCCAGCTCCCGCTGGACAGACTGAAGCTCCTCCCTGCCAACAGAAAATCTCATCACACACAGTCAGCTGTACGTTAAAATGGTCCTGGTAGGAACTTGACATGGCCTGCTCAAATTCGGCAGAGGTGGTTTCTCCCTAGCTCTGGGAACATACGAGCATTCAAGCAGTTTCGTGTCAATCTTCTTTCCCCCCTGTGCAAGAAGCAATCTCTTAAAACAAGCCTTTTGCCAGCAATTTCGAGCTCAGATGGACCCAAGCTCTTAAGGGAACATAAAACACTAAAATGTGCCATTTAGGCCACTGACTTGATGCCTTCTTTGCTATTAGACCTTCACGGCCATCACAAAAATAAATCTGCTCATGCAATTTCAGTGGAAGAAGCAGAGCTTTGCAACCAGAAGATTATTTTGTTCAGATTGAATGTGGACTAAAGTGGTCTTCCAGGACTAGAATTTGCCATGGCAGCATTATAGTTCCTCCACAGAAATGCTTGTTTATTTACTTCATTTGTTTTCTATTTTTCTCTACAAGGGGGACTCCAAAAATGGGCTTGCATAATTTATCTTCTCTTCCTTTTTAAACTCTTTGCAACAGCCTTGTGAGGCTGAAAGGTTGTGACTGGCCCTGGGTCACCCAGTGAGCTTCCAGGGCAGAGCTGGAGGATTTAAACTGGGGTCTCCCAGATCCTAGGTCCGACAGTCTAACCACCACACCACATTCTCTCTTTTAGGGCACACGTGAAGGAAGAGTTTAAAAAAATAGTAGCTGTGAGGGACTGGTCAAATTAGGTCTTCCGGTAAACACCTTCACACAAACAATGTAAAAAAAAAAGTCCAAATATAATTAGTCAATGGTTACATGCCATTGGATGCTCCTATTGTTGCAATGCCCCCATTATCCAAGACATACCTCCTCCTTTCCCCAGCAGCAGCAAGCAAAGAGCCTCAATGGGTGATGCTACATTTGCTATGGCAACCTGTTAAGAAAGTGCAGAGAAACATCTTACAGGTATTGTCTCCGTAGAGCCTCGACATCGGAGTTGTTGCTGCTGATCTGGGACCTTTGGGTCTTTTCTAGCTCCCGCTCCAGCTCTTCCCGGTGGGCATTCTTCATGGCTTCTATGGCTGCAAAGGATGATAGAAAATGCTGTTTAAAAAAAATGAAACCTAATCACCACTAACACCATATAGATCCGTGGAGATAGTTTCAGGGGGGTAGCCATATTGGATCTACAGTAAAAGAGCAAGACTGGAGTCCAGTAGAACCTTAGAGATCAACAGATTTCCAGGGCGAAACATTCAAGAGTCAAAGTTTATCTGACAAAGGGAGCTCTGACTCTCGAAAGCTTATACTACAGTAATCTTGGTGGTCTAAGGTGCTACTGGACTCCAGTCTTGTTCCTGTAGATCCAACTGCACACCTTTTGGACAGGCCCCCAAGTCTCTCCTCCCCACTCAGGCACACTTTTTGTTCTACCTGAGATGGTAGCTGCTGTCTCTTCTGCCAGCAACCGATCTTTCTCTTCCCGTAGCTTCTCCAGTTCTCGCTGGTGCTGCCTCTGTAGGTCCTCGATCTTTTTCTGATGAGTCTCTTCCATGGCAGCAAACCCTCGCTCGCAAGTTGCCTGGTGGCGGTGGGGGGGGGGGGGAAGAGAAGAAATCATAATTCAGCTGGCTTATTCATTTTGGAAGAATTCAATGTAAGAGCATCCAGAGACTTTATAAACTGATGGATGAATGGGCAGATGAATGGATTGACACACAAGGACAGAACTCATGAGCCAAGCACGCAGGGAAGGGTTAATGCTCTCCTAGCTATAGAACTACCAAGCCTCTCTGGTCTACAGCTAATGGAAAACTGACTAGAAACAAAGATATTTTTGAGGACTCACTTAAGTGGGGCATACCAGGAAGATTTGGAATTTTAAGTCTTCAGTGCGGGACCCCAGCACGAGTATGTAAGACTGTGAGTCCCTTGGGGACAGAAATGTCGGTGGTGGGATATCTGTCATAAGGAGCTCATGTGTGCCATGAAATGTCATGGGACAGAAATAAAATAAATACCCAAAGCCCCCCCCCCCCCACTTCAGACTGGGATAACATTTTGCTAACAGAGAAGACAAGAGTTCCTGAATGGCAGACAGCAGTTCTTTGGGAAAACAGCCCAACAACAGCACACCTCTCAACAAAAATGGGGCAGGGTGGCCTTAGCATAGCCCAGAGAATTTGCCTATTCTGTCTGGAAAATTTGGCTTTTTAAATTCTAAAACTTGCAGTTTTTTTTTTAAAAGCTGTACCTGTTGAAACAGCCAAGATCCAGCAACCAGCACTATTTGTTCTAACTGGTGATAAACTAGGAATGTGCATTTGAGTTTACCCGAACCGAAAATATACCAGAAAAACACCTTATCAGTATTTTTTTTCAGATATGTTTAGGCATCTCAAATGTATCTGGGATTTTGCAAAACCGAAAAAATCCTGAATATATTCAGGAATTACCGGCAAACCTGAACAGCAGCTGAGGGGCTGAAGCAGATTGCTTCTGCCACTCAGCTGTTTTGGGGCTTTCTTCTTTAATCCCTTTAAACAGGTGCTGTTTAAAGGGACTGCAGAAGACAGTGTGCGAAACAGTCAAGGGGGCACTCTCCCCACCGGCTCTGCTGCAGCTATTTTGAGCTATTTGACTGAACAGCCAAAGAGAGCCCCAGTGGAGCTTGGAGGGAGAGTTCTCCATGCAGGATCAGCTACTTTGTGGGCTCTGTTGGGATGTCTAGTTTAAACTGGGCTACCCAGCAGACCCCCAGTCCAGCCTGCAATGAGAATATTGCCCACAGGATCAGCTCCTTTGTGGGCTCTGTTGGGCAGTCTGGTTAAACCATGCTGCCCAGCACAGCCCCAGACAAGCCTGTGGGGAGAACTCTCCCCGCAGGATTGGCTGCTTGGCAGGCTCTATTGGGCAGTCCAATTTGAGTCAGGCTGCCCAGCCGAGCCTCTGGGGAGAGTTCTTCTCACAGGATCACGTCCTTTGCAGGCTCTGTTGGGTAGTCTGGTTTAAAGCGGGCAGCCCAGCAGAGCCTGTTGGGAGAGTTTTCCCTGCAAGATCACCTCCTTTACGGGCTCTATTGGGCAATCTGGTTTAAACCGAGCCTTGTTGGAGAGTTCTGCCTGCAGGATTGGCTCCTTTGAAGGCTCTGTTGGACAGTCTGGTTTAAAGGGACCTCCCAAAAGCGCTCCAGCTGACCTTCCTCTCAGCTGTTTTTTGTGGTTTTACCGTTGTTTTTCTTGGTATTGTTCGGTTTGAGTCTTATCTGAATACTTTATTGGTATTGAGATCCAGGGTTTTTCGAGAACTCTGAAATTTTTTGGGGCCCAGTAGACCCGAACTGAAAAATACCCAAACCTGATTGCATAACGTATATGAATTTAACTCCCTAAAGTAGTTTACCATAACCATGATAATTTGATATGCCTCATCTGTCAGCTTCTTGGAATTTATGAATAAATCTCACTCTGTTTTGCCTGTGTCTTTTCTTCCAAGCAATTGTTGACTTGCATTATTATATGAAAGGCAGTGTGGTATAGTGGTTACAATCTCAAGAATGACTCTGGGAGACCCATGATCAAATCCACAAGACTTTCTTGGGGACCTTCAGCCAGGCAAATACTCTCAGCCTCGCCAACCTCTCAGGGGGGTTGTTGCAAGTATAAAATGGAAGAGGGAGAGCCAGGTACGCTGCCCTGAACTTGCTGAAGAAGGGTTGGATAGAAATGTGCCAAATAAATAATAAATAAGCTAATACAATAAAACTCAGGTTTTAGATTCTATCACCAACTAATCCTGATGCCTGCATTTTATATAAATATTAAAGATATTGAAACAGAACCTTTTAAATGATACTGAACTGAAATTTGAGAATTTGCTTTAAATGATGTAGGGGTATCAGACCAGGAAAAGATGGAATGAAGTGGTGTTTAAGGGAGATTAACAGAAATCTCTCTGTAGTCTTCCTGTGGAGATCACATTTGTTGAGCAGATGAGGCTGCTTTATACTGAATCAGATCCTTGGTCCATCAGGATCACTGTTGCTTACAATGACTGGCAGCAGCTCTCCAGGGTCCCAGGTAGAGGTCTTTCACATCACCCACCGGATCGTGTTTAACGGGATGCCAGAGACTGAACCTAGGATCTTCTGTGTGCCGAGCAGATGCTCTACCACTGAGTCACAGCCCCTCCCCTGTTCAGGTTGGCAAATACCACTTTAGTCTACGTTCACCATCTTATTACAGGTAAGTCCCATGAGGCCTGAGAGGACAATTTATCACCGTACTCCATTGACAAAAAAAAATCCCTGTTTACTTAAGGGAGAGGCCATGACTCAGTAGCAGGGCAACTTCTTTGCACTCAGAAGGTCCCAGATTCAATCCCTGGCATCTCCAGTTAAAGGAGTCCCAGTTAGCATGTATTCTCTGCCTGAGACAGCAGCCAAACAAGGATGCTGGGAAAAGTGGGAGGGGCTGTGGGACAAGGCATGATTTGTATTTGGGGTAGGGCCGTGGTACAGCATCTGCTTCGTATACAAAAGGTCCCAGGTTCAATCGCTGGCATCTCTTGTTCTAAAAAGGACTGGGTAGTAGGTGATGTAGAAAACCTCTATCAGAGAGCTGCTGTCATCAGAGTAGGGAGGACTCATGACAGACCAAGGGCCTGACTCAACATAAGATAGCTTCATGTGCTCAAGAGGGCCTGGAAGTGTTTGACTGAGAATGTATTCTAGCCTTATGCACAGGGAAATGCAAAATGTATTCTAAAGGCTGGCCCTGCCCTCTAGTCCTACTAAGCCCTCTTGTCCTAAACAAAACGTTGATAGCTACTCTACGATGAGTGGGATACACGCACAATTTGGTAGGGGGGGGAACACTGGACACCTTGAGGTTCTCAAAGTCTTTCTGGTATTTCTCCCGCAGAGTCGATGCGCTTCCTTCCAGGTGCTTGTGCTCCAGCTCGTCTCTCATGACATCTATCTGGGCTTCCAGCTCTTGTATGCGCTCGCGCAACCCATGCATAGAGCTGAGCTCACCCTCAGAGCCCTGCGGCCCACCTTCAAGCTGACCCTCAGTGTGAGATTCCAGTGGGCCAGCTTTAGGTGCATCTCTGGGCAGTGATTCTGGGTGCTGCTTCCGGTACTCATCCACAGATTCCTGCAAGCCCTGCAGATTTCTGCTGTAATGGTCTTGCAATGTCTGCAGCTCCTCATTGTGAATGATCTGCAGCTCTTTCATCTTGACCTGAAACTTGTCCTCCAAGGTCTGGATTTGCTCCAGGTGGTATCTCTCCAAGTTCTGCTTGTCCCGTATGATGGCATCCAGTTGGTGAAGCCCTTTGGTTCTCTCGGCCTTCAGGGTGTCCTCTGTCCTGTTTAACTGCTCGACCACAGTCTGCATCTCCTCTTCGTACCTGCCCTGCAACTCCAACATCTTTCTGCTCTGCTGACGTTCTTCTTCTTCCAGGAGCTTCCTCTGGCTCTCCAGCTGGGCCACTTTTGCTTTCAGGTCCACATTCTCCTTTTCGAGGATGGCAATCATCTCGGCATATTCGTTCTGCTGCTTACGGAGCAAATCCTCATACTCCTCTCGGAGGACTGCCACAGCCCTGATGCGCTCCTGGCACAGAGCGTCCATGTTTTGCAGTGACTCTTTGTTCAGCCATGCCTCCTTTTCGTATTCCAGCCTAGCTCTATAGGCCCCGTAACAAACCTGGGCCTGGATAATTGCATCCTGGACTAGCAGGGAAGAGTAGCGTTCAAGATCCCCCATACATGACAGATAGGGAGGAGTGCGAGAAAACTTTAGGAGCTTCTGGCAATCTTTTAGGGCCTCCTCAGGGGACAGAGACAGTAAAGCAGCTGCTATTTCTTCCAAGACTTTCGCCCTGTCTTTTAGCTGCTGAGAAAGCTCTGCCAGAACAGCTGTCAAAGCTTGACTGCTAAGACTTTGCAAGCCGCAGTCTTCTGTCCTGTGCTGCTGAACACACCTGTCCCAAGACGCTTGGATGCTTTTGGAGGTGCCCTCTTGGATTTCGAGCACTTTGGAAATCTGATCCATAACTCCGTTGAACTGAGGTGTCTGGTAGGCTTTAATGATTTCCTCCAACATGCACTTGTGCTGCTGAAGGGCTGTCTTGGTGTTGTGGAGGTCCTCTTCGATGGCCTTCAGCCTCTGGTGAAAGGACTCCCGCATTTTCTGGGCAACGAAACCCAGCTCGGCTTGAACGAGCGCACTGTCTGCAATGGTGTGTATAAGGCCTTGAAGGGAGTCTGAGCTTTCCATTTCCATCTTTTCTTCTTTTTCCTTCTTGCTTAGGTGCTTTCTTAACTCCTCAACCTGGCTCCAAAATTCATCCTCCAACACTAGTTTTTTCGATAAGATGTTGGCCAAGGTGACCGCTGTGTGAGAAACATTGGAAGGCTCTAAGAGGACGGCATCCACCATCCCATGAATCTCCCGAAGGGTTAGGGTGATCTCAGAAGTGGAGTCTCTCAAAGACTCTGCTATCTGGTTTATCAGGCAAGCTTCAAATGCCACCCGCTTGGAAAGCAACTTTAGTTGGTCTTGTTCAGAAAACTCTGTTTGCCGTTTTAGGGGGACAGGTATATCATTTTCCAGCAAACTGCCTTCTTGGGGTTGTGGACTCTCTCTTGGCTGGAGATCAGGTAAAGACAGTGTCCCCTGTAAGGCCTGGATTGCATTAGATAATGTTATCTCCATGCTGGATAAGGCATCCAAGAGTATCTCTCCCCCTCCTTCCTGGTCAGATCGGGGCAGAGTTCTTAGCTGTTCCCCACATTGTTTCAAACACATCAAGGCTTGGTTGTTTCTCCCCTGGAATCCCCCCAGCTCGCTGGCATGTTTGGCCATCAGTTTGAGTTTCCCTTGCCTCTCGTTCTCCAGCTGTGAGACCAACAGGCTGACTTGGGTCAAACTGTCCTGAAGCTGCTCCCTCAACTGGGCTTCTGTGCTGGCCCACTGGTGGTGAAGCGCAAGGAGGGTGTCTTGGTTGTGCCCTTGCTGGCTCTCCAGTTTCATGGTCACATCTTTGAGCTTTTCCTCTGTGATGTAAAGTTTGGTTTCCAGGGAATGGATGATAGACAGGTAAGTCTCTGAGTCACCTGAGGCCGGGTAACATGGAGCTGGTTCTGATGACATGCTGTCTTCAGAAAGCGAGCGGTCCTGGCTGGTGTCCGACGAAGTGCTGCTGGCCCATGTTTTCTCTGAGCCATCTGCATGGACGTACTTTTGGCACTGGATGCTAGAGAAACGGATCCTCTGCCGTTTGGCTCCTGGGATTTCCGTGTCAAGTTTGGCCAGATCTTTCTGATAAGCCTCCCTCTCTTGAAGGTGTGCAGGCTTCAATGGAGACCTATATTCTTCTGCTTTCATGGCTGCCTTTTCACAAATCTGTCTCTGATTGGGACTGTCTTCCTTGGTGGGCATGCATTCTAAAATGGGGATTCCTCCCGGAACCTGTGGATGTGGCGTAATGTGATTGATGTCAGTCTCTGGCACAGCGCAGGGATTGACTGTTTCATGGACAGTGCAGTGCTCCAAACTTTCGTCAGCCAATGTTTTCAATGACTTATCTTCGGCCTGTTGATTTCCTTCCATTCCCAACAAAGGTTCGCCCAAATCTCGATCCTTTTGGACAGTTTTTAGGTGGACCTCCCGTATGGCTCTCAACTCTTCCTCCTTCTCCTGCAGGACCTTCTGCAAGTTCTGGAACTGGCCTGACACCTCCTCGTAGGAATGCTCCAATGTGCGGTAGTTGGTCTCTTCAGCCTGAAGTTTTGCTTGCAGCTTTGCGACCTCGTGGTCCGACTCTGCCACCTGATTCATCAGCTCCTGGAACCTGTATTTGATCTGATCCCGTTCCTCCTCCAGGCTCTTGATGTGCTCGGCCAGTTTCTGGATGCTGTCTTCCTTCATCTCAAGCTGCTCCTCCAGCTGGTGGACAATCTCACTGCCTTCAAATTTGGCTGTCAGCTTCTCCTTCTGTAGGATCTCCATCTGCCGCTCACTATTCTGGAGCTGGTTCTCGTATTCGCTGGCTCTGTCTTCCACTTCCTTTACGCTCTGGATCAAGACCTGCTTTTCCCGCTCACAGCTTTCCAACAGAGCCTCGTAGTTCCTCTGCAACTTCTCTTCCATGAGCATCCGGGACTGCTCGCTGGCACTGAGCTGCCGGCTTACATCAGCGATCCTCTCCTGGAGCCGCTGGACTTCTTTCTGGTAGTCCCTTTGCAGGGCCTGTTGGGTTTCCAGATCCCGCAGCTCTTGGGTCTTCTCCAGGAGGAGTGCTTCTGCTTTCTTTAGCTGCTGCTCACTGGCCTTCAGCTGGGAGCTCAGTGCTGTCTCGCTGTGCTGCCATTCCTCCATCTGCTCCTGCGCTTTCTCCTTCTCGGCCTTCAGGTCACTCTTCAACTTGGCCAGTGTCTGCTCTTTGATGGACAGCTCTGCAGCGGCATTGCCCAGCCGGGCCTGCAGGCTCTGGATCTCCGCTTCATGGTGCCGGATCACATCTTTGGCCTCTCCGTAGCTACGCTTAAGGGCCTGGATCTGTTGATTGATCAGCTCCTGGCGCTGGCATTGGGCTTCCAGCTCACTTTGGAGGTCCTGGTTGACTTTGTGGAGCCTCTGCCAGGCCCCCGATGGGGCTGTGGGCACCTCAGTCTTAAAAAAATTGATTAAAGAGGAGATTAGTAGTACTCTCGGCTCCCAGTTCTGAGTGTCACACCTGTGGTCATGTTGGGACACAGAAAAAGTCTTCTCCGATTGGTTTGACCAGTACCCATCTGCTCCAATTTTGTTGGTGGCAGGATGTTTTGTTTTTGTTTTAATAAAAAAATCATTTTCAGAGAATAAGGGAAACTCCTTTCCGGTTTAAACAGACAACATGAATGCTAAAACACCAAAACAGGTCTAATGCAAAAAGAGTTAAGGGAAAACAAAATAGAAAAAAATGAAAGCATGATGGAAAAGAAACCGTCAAAAAGGACAAGTAGAAGAAGACTGGAAAGAAATGAAAATTATGGGGGAGGAGGGAGAGAGATGAGGATGTTTCAGGGATGTACTTAAAAAATTAACTTTCTGGAATTGCTGGAAGACCTTACCTGTTTGGGTTGGCAGGGGTGGGAGACTCAGAGCTAGCTGGGAAAGTGTGGAAGGGAAGTCAGTGAATTCAATCCAGCAGACTTCTGTTCTGCTGGGAGTGTGGCTTTTTTGCTTTCATTACCCACCTCCAGCCTTCAGGATAGGGTGGGCCATAAAGTCTTAATTGAAGTGAAACTGGGTTGTATGTATACATCTGAGTTGATGTTTTTGCCAAACAAAAGGTGTGACTGAAACACCAAAGAAGCACCATTACTACCTTGCCCTTGTTGCTCTAGTAATCTCATTTCTGCCACTATTTGGAACCAAACTCTGTAACTCCCTGTGCTTATATTTTTTTCAAAAACTGCAAGTGAAGTTTACACTTCTTGTTGAATCTACATCTTTCTGCTACCTGTGCTTGTGTTTTTGAAGAAAGGTAAATGAAGAGGAGAAAAGGGGGAGGTATAATGAGAACGTAAAAGTCAGAACAAGAAATTCTTGGGAGGAAGACTCAAAACCAAAAACCATGGTTTGCATGCACAGAGGAGAAAACAAAAACTCAGAGAATCATGCAAGAGTCCAGACAGAAATAATGTGTCTTGGAGAATACACAAATGAAAAGCCGAAGGAGCAGTAGCGTTTAGCTGAATAGTTTGGCCTGCCTTCCCATGCCGCGTTTTCAGGCAGGGACAGCCCAAAGATGTGACACTCAGTTAACGTTAAGTCAGATTACATGCTTCCCCACAAAAAAAAAAAAAAAAAAAAAATCCATGCAAAAATTATCCACACCCAGGAGTAGTTAGTATCATGACTCCCGCCCCTCCTGCATATTCATAGACACCCGTGCTCCAAAAAAAGAACCAGAAGAACCAGATTTTGGTGCCTTTGGGAGAGGAAAAAAAGGAAGAAAGAAGGAAATTCTCATGCTCAGCTTCAGTTAGTGTCCGACAGGCTAAAGAAACTCCACTTGCACCAGAGCCTTGATGCAGGAGCAGCATAGCAGAAACAAAATTAAGTCGCTTTAAAAACCAACATGAGAGACCACCAACACTTCTTAGTTTCGCATTCCAGGTATGCCTGGTGTGGTGTGCATGGACGCCATGGTGCCTTGCCAACAGCTTTCCAGGCTCCTGCCACGTGTTTTTAGCAAGTGGTTGGGGTCAGGTGGGACCTCTGCCAAGCCAGACTTATAATTGGCCATTGGAGATTTGATAGACTGCAGATTTTTACAAATGTTGCTTTGGCAACAGCTGCCACCACAGCAAAAGGATCTTCACTGTGTAACTGAAGTTAAGCCGTTGCAGCCATTTGCGGCTGGCTATACCTCCTGTGATGGCCATTTCTGCAGCAGCCATATTGCAGCTGCAGCTACCGTATTGTCAGAATTTCAAAGGTACCTGCAGGGTCAAAAAGGTTGGGACCCCTGGTCTAATGGCTGCATTTTGGCCTCCCTTCTTGCTCCATATTTGTAAGGTTTTCTGTTTCCCCAGTCAAAGGGGCTTTGGGCAACACAGAAGTTAGGCCAGGTCAAACTCTGGAAAATCTGACATCTAGTCCAACGTGGTGGGATCCATTCTAGTATTCTGAGCTGTGGAATCTACACAGCAGTTGAAGTCAGTGACATATTGCCAGGGAGTGAGTTTTGGTTTTATGTATGTTTATGTCATCTATTTTAATGCATTTTATTTACGGTATATTGTGAGACACTTTGAGCTCCGTAAGGAGGAACGGCAGCTGATAAATGTTTTAAATCAAATAAATCAAATAATCCTTTTTCATCAAAAGAATTTTATTCTGAGAGCTCCAGAATTCTGGAAGCAGAGGAAGTCCGAAGGAGGCCTCTGCAATGTCACTGTGTCCTGCAGAATCAGAAAAAGAAGCCAGAAGAAAACCTCTGTCCCAGGAGCTCAGGGGGAATTCTCCAGGAGGACCTGAATATGCATCCACCTTCCTCCTGGGTGGCAGAAGGCATGAGAAAGTAAATCTCCACACTGTGGCCACCAATATGTATCACGAGGCACTTCCCATCACCAAGTTGGAGAGTCCTAACAGTCAGGTAAAGGGACATTGTTCCCAAAAAGGAAGGTACCCACCACCGCTCTGAAAATCTTATCATACCCACAAGTCTTGAGCAAAGAGCCCCACCGAAGAAGCAGCTTCAGGTGATTTGCCCTTGTTGCCTGGCTCATCTATCCAAAGTAAAGGGAAGGAAGTATGATACCAGAGACCTCCATATTAACACTGGAAAGGGGAATGCGTCCCATAGCCAGTTTTGCCAAGTTAACCAGGTCCAGAGCCTGATGTGTGACAAGAGGGTAAATCAAATGCTGCCCTTCTCTCCCCTTTGCATATTCTGTCTCCAACTTGGGCATCTTCAGAAGCACCCTGGACCAAAGCCCTCCAAGACTCCTCTTGTCTGCTGCTGCTCTCCTACCTGCAAGATGTAGCCTTCCCTGGCACTCTGCTCCCGGCCCAATGCCACTTTCAACTGGTCTTGCAGAATCCGGTTTTGCTCCAGGAGTTCTGAAGCAGCCTTTTGGCTCTGCTCCAGCTATCAAGCCAAAACAAAGGTGATAAGAGAGAGAGAGAGAAATATTTTTTAAAAAACTTTATAAATTACAAAAAGATAACTACAGAGCTGAGGTCCCCAATGTCGTGCCCATAGGTGCCGTGGCACCTACCGACACCTTTCCCTGTGCCCATCAAGTGTTTTTTTATAAAGTGGGCATGGGCCAGATGGGGCTTTTGATTGGCTGTGCATATTTGTAAAAGCATTGCATGGGCAGTGACTGCCACAGGAGCACAAGGATCTTTCACTGTGTGACTGAAGTAAACTGCAGCAGACGTTTTGTGGCTGGATCTGCCTCCTGTGACAGCCATTTTGTGTCTGTGCCCATCATGCTATGTCAAAATTCTCTGCCGCCTTACCTCCTTCTCCAGGAGTGCAGTGAGATGCTGCTTGTGGAGCGTCTCATCACCGTCTTCAGGATGTGCAAGCTGCAATGGGGCAATGGGCACTTGCTTCTCCTCACGTAGAGGAGTTGTCTCCACCTGGTGCCACCGTTGTTCAATCTCCACATGGACATTCTGCGGCTTGATCTCCGAAGTGACAGGCAAGCCAGGCACTCTGTCCACCTCCATCCTAGAGAAGTCCTCCAGGTTTCCCTCATCAGGTGCATCCAGGTTCTCAAAACGCTTTCGCCTCTCCTCCCTCCGCCGCGCACGCTCTCTTTCCAACTCCCCAGGGTCCGTGTCAGAGGGGCTGGGCTCCATGGGTAAAGGAGCTGGCCCCTCACCTTTGGACTGCTCCACCTCACTTCCTCGCTCTCGCGCCAGGGCCTGCTGGATGGGACGGAACTCAGCCCAGTCAAAGGTCTTGGAGCGGCCCTCCCGCCTGCGCTCCCGGACACGGCTGCGCTTGTGCTCAGGATCAATTTCAGCAGGCTCAGAGTCCTGCTTCTCGCTTGGCTTGGGGCAGGCCTCAGGCGATGAGCTGGTTTTGCTTTTCTTCTCTGGCAAGGAGCTAGAAATGGGGGAGCAAAGAG